GGGGAGGGAGGGGGAGGGAGGGAGGGGGGACAGAGGGAGGGAGGGGGGGGGGGGGGAGGGAGGGAGGGGAGGAGGGGGGAGGGAACAGCTGCTGATCCAGCTGTTGTCAAAGCCAACACTTCTCACCATCTACGCTCTTGATGCTGCCTTCAGGAGCTTTGGTGTCCCCAGGGAACGTGCTCAGAATGCAGATTCTCAGGCCGCTGCGACCCGCTCAACCAGACTCTGCCTCTTAACAAAGTCCCCAGGTGACCTGAGGATTACCGCGCACACAGTGACAGTGGAAGCACAGGGACCACTCACTCTCTGGCCCGAGTCCTGCTTTGCCTACGGTTCCCACCCTCTCTGCCATATCCCCACGCCACAGTGGCTCAAACCAATTCATTTTTAAAAGAAAAGAAAAACAAATCTTAACCACGTGTATTTTGAAATGAAACTTCATATCACGATTATCCATGGAAAAAAATCAAGCATCATTCGCTATAAGTGGAAAAAAATCATTAAGAAAATGCATGACATAAGACATAAGTGGAAATACGTTATTTAACCCTGGCTGGACACTGACTCCGCCCCAAGTTCTCAGCTCGAGCCTGCCCGGATGTGCACGGGGGACCGGATGTCCCAGAGGTGAGAAGCCATCCTAGACCTGGAGGCCTCAAAAGGACTGGAGGAGGAGGACTTTCTCACTGTTCGACTTGGTGCCCTTGATCTCCATGTGTGATGCATTCCATGTCATTTTACCTGCCAGGATGAGGTGTCCGTGTGTGTGTGAGTGTGTGTGTGTGTGTGTGTGTGTGTGTGTACACTAGGGATTGAACCCAAGGGCGCTTTACCACGGACCTTTACAGCCCATTCATATATATATATATTATTTATTTTTTGCTAAGTTACTGAGGGTCTCCCTAAGTTGCCAAGGCTGGCCTCAAATTTGCAATCCTGTTTCCTCAGCCTCCCGAGTCACTGGGGTGACAAGCATATGCACCATGACAGGTGTGCACCACTGTGCCCAGCCGGTCCCCACACCTGTGGGCACTTTCTACAGCATTGTCCCCCAGACAGCCTCCCACAAGAGGCACTTTCCCCCACATTACGAGTTCCCCCCAAACACACTCAACTGGTACCTGGATGTAAGCGGGGCTTGCTTATCTCAGGGTTCCAATGGCCCTGGCTGGCGGAGGACTCAGTCCCCCAAGGCAGCAGCCTGCTCCCCCTCTGGCCAGCAGCCAGTTCAGTCCAGAGCCATCTCCGGCCCCTCTTCGAGTGGGAGCCAGATGACCAGGAGCTGCCCCAGAGCCTTGCTGTGCTCCTGCAAGGGTGAGACCCCAGGGCAAGTGGCAGAGTTTGGGGTGTGACCTCAGGGATGAAATTCCAGGATCCCAGTGAACAAATGAGCCTGTCTACACTGCCCCAGACCACTGCCTGCATGGGGAGCTGTGTAGACCTTAACAAAGTGCATTCCAATGATCCCTGGGAAAATAATTACTTTGCATCATACACGAGGCTGGAATTTTCCATAGGAGCCTCTTGCCAAAGGGAACCAGGCTGAGCTCAATCAATAACAGTTAATTTCATTTTATTTTTTTGGTGGTGCTGGGGATTGAGCCCAGGGCCTTGTGCCTCGGAGGGAGGCATTCCACCAACTGAGCCATATCCCCCGCCCAAGAGTTAAAGCTTCAAAGGAGCATTTCGAATCCTCTAGCTGAGCAGACTATTGAAAGGTGAGATGGTTGCTATATATTTTTCTTCATCGCATCAATCTCTTCTTTTATCGTCTTCGAAAACCACCCTATGAACTAGTCACCAACCAGAAGACAGACCCTTGCTCAGGCAAATGTCAACAGTGTCATATTGCAGTCTGGTATGTTCCATATGGTGCTGGCTGGTGACTAAATAATGACTATTAATAAAAATCTATGAGGTTGCAAAATCTCTCTGATCAGCAGTGGTGGAGTTGTTAGCAATAAAGCTTCCCTGCAGACATTTTGAAAGGGAAAGGTTTCAACCACCCCCACCCAAAGGTTCTTCTCCTCTCCGTCAGTACTACTAGTAATACTCACAATCCCCTCCAACGGATCACTCACCGCATACCAAGGGCTGTTCTAAGAAGGCCACAGAAACCACTCATCCATTCCCCAGAAACAGAGGCTGTAACCAGGTAGGGACCCTTACTCTGGACCCTTCCCAAGTCATCCTCAGACTGCCAAGTCCACGAGGTGAACCGTGACAGGGAGCAGGGTTTGTCCCACCCTGAAGAATACCTCAGGAGAAAAGCACTTGCTTGGGAGCCGCAAGACGGAAGAATCTAGGTGTCCACAGAAGGACGAATGGATAAACAAAATGTGGTCTCCACAGACAGGGGAAGGTCACTGTGCCTTAAAAAGGAAGAAAGTCTGGCACTTGTGCATGAACCTTGAAACCATTAAGCTAAGTGAAATAAGCCAGTCGCAGAAAGATAAATACCCGTGATCCCACTAAACGAGGGACCTAGAGTAGACTGATTCACTGACAAAGGGGAAAGAGGAATCACTGTGAAATGGGTATGGAATTTCAGTTTGAGAAGAGGAAAATTTCCCGAGACAGACGGTGGCCACGGCTGTACAACAGGTATGTACCTATGACCACTGAACAGCACGCTTAAAAATGGTTAGAAGGGTACATTTTAGGCTGTACATATTTTGTCAAATAAAGGGGGTTTTTTGCACAAAAGAAACTTGATATTAAAAGCATTCAGTCATTCACGCACTATTCAAGTATACACACACACACACACACACACACACAACTCAATGTTGTGGTCCCTCTTCATCCATTGCACAAAGATCTCAGGAGACCAGGCAGACACTAGCAGGGAGGGACAGGTTGAAGCAGGATGCCTGAAGGAGATCACATGAAGGGTAAAACGACTGACCATGCCCAGCCCCAGGTGCACCAGGTGTGGGGCAAGCAGCTACCTGCTTGACCTCAAACCCCCAAGGTTGGCATCACCCTTATCCCCATTGTACAGGTGAGGGACTGGGGCACAGAAAGGCTCCGGAAGTCGTCCAAGGTTACGGAGGACTCACACCCAAGCGGCCGGGCTCGGAGGGCCCACTTGTCATCACGTGGAACAGGGTGAAGCGATGATCGACATGGTCCCAGGACACAGAGGCGGTGACTACAAAATCTGAGGGGATGTGGAGGATTCCCAAAAAGGGAGTGACTTCAAACTAAGGTCCGGAGCAGGGCTTGACTACGTTACAAGCCGTGGGCCTGGCTGTGTAAATAAAGTGTTATCAGACCACGGACACACTTATCTGTGCACATATTGTACGTGGCTACTTTTCCGTTCGTCAGCAGAACTGAGTGGCTGTGACGGCCACCAGGTGACCTGCGGAGCTGAAAAGGGTCACCACGATGGCCAGTCTCTCCAGATAAACTCCCCACCCTCCAGCAGGACCTACCAGCCCCTCCCCCGGATGCCTGGCCCTTGGTGCTGTCCCTCCAGAGCACTCTGCCCTCCACCCTTGGGCTCTGGATCTGTTCTCGACGTGAAGGTCACTTGCCCTTCTGCGCCCCTCCCTTGCACAGCCCCCAGCCTCTCCGACTCACCCCTCGCTGCTTCCTCCTCACACGGATCGCACCTTAATCACCAGCTTCTGTTTTGTCTGCCTCCTGCGCCCAGCCAAGCAGTGGCAGATGTGGGTGGGCGAACACTGCCCCGTCATTTCCATCAAACCCCGCCTGCGCCCACAGAACCTCCCCCAACAAACAATCAAAAGGGGCGTCGTCAGCCAACACAGACCAAGGCCAGCCCCTGGGCTCCCACCCCTCCAAACACACTGCTGTCCCCAAGTCCCTCCTGTGTAAACTTCACAGCCACCACTGCTCTCCAACCAGAAAGGAGGTTGCCCGCGGACAGGGACCATGTGAGGTCCTCTTCCATTGCCACTGTCCATGGTGGCCTCTGGCAGCTGGAGGCTCTCTGCACTTAGGCTGAGTAGGGTGGCTGAAGGCCCTGCAGTGAGACTCCCTGGGTGACCCCAGAGGTGAAAGGGCATGACACAGACCCATAAGAGAGTCGGGGGGGGGGGGTGTTGACATGGGGACAGGAGGAGGTGGAGGGCAGAACTTGGCAGTCCCCAGCAAGGATCGTCAGGCTGTTGCAGACCCTTGAAGGCAAAGCCTACATTTCCAAAGATGCTGAGGTAGGCAGAGATGGGCTGGGACAGCAAGGACAACGAGTTCCAGGCCCCCCGTCACGCTCAGTCCCGTGGTCCTCCCGTGGAGGAGGAAGGGCACTGGGAGCCATCAGCAGCCTCTCGGGGGCCGTGGTGACAGCCAGGCCAAGCTCCATGATCAGTGATCAAGGGGTGCTCACTCTCCCCAGGAAGCTCACAGCCCCTGTCCCCATTTGAGGTGGACAAGACTTAGACGGTGGGGGGACCATTTCAAACTAGGGTGGGCTCAACTCCCAGGTGCAGCCGAGACCCACTGGAGGACGGCGAAGGCTCAGCAGGGGACAGAGCTCCTCGGACGCACCAGCCCACCTTAGCCAGCTGTGTCTGCAGCTTGTTCTTCGCCTCCGTCTCCTCGGCGATGCGGGCGTTGAAGGCCAGGTTGGTGTCCGTGAACTGCTTCCACAGCTGGTCGGACAAGCTCTCGAGGAGGTGCTCCGCCTCCTCCCGCAGCCGGATGGAGTTGGCCCGCATGTTCTGAGAGTGCCTGATGTTGTCGTTGCTGAACTTGGCCCAGGTATCAGGCACGGAAATCCTGCAAAAGGCACCAGGACAAGTTTCGCACAGGGGTGACAGGGGTGACCCTGTACCCGGGGTTCTCAACCTGGTCCTTTAGGTCAAGAGTCTTTGTTGTAGAAGGTCCGGCAACATCCCTGGCCCCACCAACGGGACGCCAGCAGCCCCTCCACACACCCAGTTATGAAAACCACAAACGTCCCCTAGGGGAGGGGACACAAATGTCCTGATCCAATCCCTCCTTTAACAAAGGCTGCAACTGCAGCTAGCAGGAGGGCGCTCAGCCGGCTGGTAGAAGAGAGGCCCCTTACAGAGCACTTCCTTGTCCCCTCAGTACCATCCCAAACAGAGCCAGGCCAAGAAGCAGGCACTGGGGTGCGGTGGAGACTCTGTCCCTCCGGCGGCGCCCATGCTACTCTCCATGGCTTCTTCGCCCCCCATGGGTGTTTTGCTGTGGGGGGTGGCCTGGTTCTGCAGTACTGGGATCACACCTCGGGCCTCCAGCATGCTAAGGCGTCTCCACCACCGGCTCCAGCCCCGCCCAGCTGAGGGTCTGGAATTCCCGCCATGTCCCAACACTGCCTAGGCACTTGAGACGGAGCTGTGAGCAAGAAGAGCACCGTCCCTGTCCTCAGAGGAGGTACTTCCACAGAGTCACGGGGAGGCCGGAACCAGGAGCAGGAAGGAGAAGCGATGGCGTGTCCTCGCGTGTCGGTGGTGAAGGGTGCAGGGCACAGCAGCCTCCCACCCCCTAGCCACAGATTGCTCTCTGCTGTGGTCGCTATGTGACGACCGAGGTCTGAGAGTATCACATGGAAAACTCCAGAAATGAATGATCGATAACTTCCAAATACCTTTGGTTACATTGTTACGATTATCCTATGTAATTGGCTACTGTGGTCAATAGCTTCCGGGGCCTAATTTATACACTAACTCGTCACAGGGATGTGTGTCTAGGAAGAGACGCAATCCACATGGGGCCTGGTGCTATCCACGGCTTCAGGCATCCACCAGGGTCTCAGAATGTACCCCTGAGGATGGGGGCAACCACCACACTCAGCCAGAAGTTGAGGTGCCATGGATTCCCAAATGCACCCCAGCTGTGAGGGGCGAGAGGGGAGCAGTAGGTGTCCAAGAGCCAGGGAGAGGCGCAGCCCTGGAGGTGCCCAGTCCCTGGGGACGAGGGAGAATCACAGCCCCTCTCCTCTGGTGGGGGGGGGGTGTCTTCCAGAGGTGCCCCTCCTCCTGGATGAGCCCAGCAGAAAGTGAAGGGCAGAGCGCCCAGGAAAGGTGGCCACAGAGGGCAGCCCAGCAGGGCAGCTGGGGAACGGATCTGGGGAGCCAGGGGGGACCGTCACAGGCAGGGAAGGCTTCATGGAGGTGGTGCCGCCCGCCTGAGGACTCACATGGTTTAGTCAAAGTTCTTCTGCAACAAGCAACCCCAGGACCATTTGGGGTTCCCTGCTCCGGGGGGGCCTCCAGGGGGGACACGCACTTCTCTGAGCTGGCTTCACGGTGGCTACACCAGACCACATAACTTCTCAGGTCCTGTCTAGCCTGGGAGGAGACTTTTATTCTCAGGCAGCAGGAGAAAAGGAGTCTACTTCTCTGAAATGGGAAATATGTTTCTTCTCAGAAACGCTGAAGCGCGCTGAGGTGTGGGGAACAGAATTTCTAAAGTCCCACGTAGGTGCCATGGCTCCGCTGGCTCTCCTCTCCTGTCTTTCTTCCGGGGTGGGGGGTGGTCACAGGGATTGAACCTGGGCCCTGCACCTGGCACGCTCTCACCTTGAGCTACATCTCCCGCCCATTCTATTTCTGAGTCTGAGACAGGGCCTCACTGAAGTTGCTGAGGCTGGCCTTGAACTTGCAACCCTCCAGCCTCTCCCTCCCAGGTCTCTGGGGTCACAGGTGAGTGCCACCACACGGGGTTCCTCTGCCTGGCCCAGAGCCCAGCCACAAGCAGAGGCTCAGAGAGAAGTGTCTTCTCCCAGGTCACCTGTAATCACCATCCCCAAGACACTGCCGAAGGACAGGAGGCTGAGGACAGCAGATGAGACCTGCAAGTACACTCGGACTGTGGTGACACCAACAGCAACCTCCAAGCCCTGCCCTCCCCTGGAGCAGACAGCTGAGCTCCCCAGAGAAAACAGCCGCTTAATCACATTCTCCCCAGGGGCATCTACCAAAGGCAGCCTGCCTGCCTGGCAAGTCATGAGCCTCAGTAGGGAGGATGCACTGTCCCAGAGCCCGTGCCCTCTGGAGACTGGAGGGACAGCAACTTTGCTGCAGAGGCAGGAAGATCCATTGATCAAACACCCACGCGGTGTCCAGTGTGGGCTGAGGTCAACAGCTCTGCCACTTGCTGTGCAAGCTTATGACAGTCACTTCACCTCTCTGAGCCTTTGTTTACTCATTGTGAAATGGGGATAATAACGGTACCTATCCCCCCAGGGTTCTTGAGTGACTAAATGTGAAATACTTATCAGGGCACCGTACACAAAATAAGTGACTCTTCATTACTCACAAGAGCTGCATGTAAACTCTGTGTACCATCTAGCACATGGCCGACATCAGAAAGAGGCCTCTGCTGCCCCCATCACCACCATATTCATGAGTTGATCCACAGCAATGAACAGGCACACTCTGATCCAGACAGTCACCACACCTCCTCAGTCTGCCCAGATGTGGCCCTGCTTAAGAAAACTCCAATGCAAAGCCCCGAGCCAGCACATCTGGGAAGCAATTAGTCACCCAAACAGCAGCCCTCGCTTTCCAGCTGGATGAGGGACTTTAAACAGCCGCCCCTCCTGGACTTGGAGGCCAGACGCCCCAGCAGCCAGCTGCCGCCAGGTTTGAGGGGAGGCATCTGTTTGTAAAGAGGGACCCTTTGGACTTCCTGTGCAGACGGGCAGCTGTGGCCAAGGGTGGCCGAGCCCCCAAGTCCTGCTCAGCCTTCCAGTGCCTGGGGGACTCCCCCTCGTCGGGAAGAGGAGGCGGCTTCCCCGGGAGCTGCCGCAGCTATGAATCCAGAGTCACCGTGACACCGCCATGTTTGCAAAGATCCAGAAAGCCAGCCCAGACCTGGGCCAGAGATGGCTTACAATTCTTCTCCCCTTTCCTGCTCTCCCCTCCCCCTCCCCCTTCCTCCTTGCATTCAACACATGCTTACCGCGTACCTGCACGTGCCAAGAGCAAGCCTGTGCGCTAGAGGTGAAGAGAAGGAGTGCGGGCGAGACCAAGAGAGCGCCCGCCCTCCGCCAGCGCATCTCTGCCAGCACTCATGGCCCCAGAGCTCAGACCGAGAGCTGGGAAATTCTACATGACCCTCCACGAGGCGGTGACATGCCCCCGATAGTGCCAGGCGTACGAAAGGCACCTACCTCATTGCTGCCAGGACAAGAAAATGAGGATACAAAGCAAGCTCTGATAACGGTCGCCATTATCATCCACACCAGTCTCTGTGCTTACGACGTCCCATGCCCCCCTTTCAGTACACACAGCAGCCCTGGGGAGCGGGTACCCTGGGTGATATAGGTGCAGAAATGGAGTCCAAAGTGTCAGCATGGAGGCTGGGACTTAAAGCCAGGCAGCCTTGTCCTAGCATCCACCCTCCAGGCGTCACTGACTCTCCCCACCAAGCGGGGATGCCTGCTCCTGCTGGTGACAGCCCTTTTGTTTTGGAATTTGTCTGGCGGGATGGCCAAGAGAGGCACCCCAGGGTGCCCTGGCAGAGCAGCAGAGGCTCTGTGACCCTCACTAAGTCAACCACATGCTCTTTCTTTCTGGAATTTGGATCTTGGACAAGGTGGGCCAGGGGTGGAAAGATGGCCACCCTCTGACAATCCAACCGAATAGCTCCCACTCCTGCCAAACGGCCAGAAACTTGCCCTTGTCTCTGTGACCCTGCTGCAGGTTTCAGTTAATTCTATTTCATCCTAAATTGGCCAGACTTCGATTCTGCTGCTTGCAACAGCGGGTTCCCATTCAATCACACTGCCCCTCCTTGGCTGGCACACGATACCCCTTTATGGTGCCATGGCAGAAGCCAAGGCCCTTGGTCCCACAGACGGCCCAGAATGGAGGCAGAGTCCAGTACTTACGTGCCGTCACACTTCTCCACGCCATGGAAGAAGGAGATGCAGTCCGACGTGCTCCTCAGGTTAAAGCACTGCTCGTCAATACACTCGGCAGAGTTTTTGTCCTCGATGTCTCTCTCCAGGGTGTGCTGAGCATCTCGGTTATCCCTGCAGGGAGGAAGGATGTGTCCTGGGCCAGGCACTTACCCAGAGTCACCACCCAAGGTCACACAGCAGGGGAATACAGAGAACAAGCAGCAAGCCAAGTCCCTGGACTCCCAGGAAGGGTCTGTCCACACCCAGTGGCTTCTCAGCCTTCTTCCCACTTTGAGGTTCCCACCGTGTACCCAAAGCCACCGCTACTGCAAGTCCCCTGAATCCAATCAGAGCTGCTGTCTTTTAGAATGGGAACGGAAGGCATGAACTGTAAGAGGGTGGACTGCCAACATTTTAGGCTTAGTGTGTCATATGGTCCCTGTTACAACCATGCCCCAAAGCAGTCACAGGTTATATGTGAATGAATGGGCATGGATTCCTTTCAATAAAACTTTATTTATAAGAACAGATGGTGGGTTGGATTCCTCCCTCCAGCTGTAGTTTGTGGAACTAATTTAGAAGATACTAATTCATACTTCGGACAAAACCTGTATCAAGTCAAACTACTTCTCAGATTATTGTGAATGACTGCTGAGCACAAAGGGATAGGTCATAAGTAAGACTTGGTCACTGCCTTCAAGTGGCTGAGATTTGTAAAATAGAGTAAAAAATAGAACAAATAGAGTAAAAAATACGGTACAGATTGGTCAGAGCAATGGTGAGAGTCTTAAAAGGATACAAAGTAACCCAAAGGAGGAAACCATTAATTCTAGGATAAGGGAAGGGCTGCCTGAGAAGGGTCTGAGTAGGGTTTCCATAACAAACAGAAGACATCATGAACAAAGTTACACAGGGGACGAGAACTCCCAGCTGAGGAGACGACATGGGCGAAAGCAGAGACGCTAGAAATGCCCAGGTTTGAGGGACTACTGAGGCTCATTAAGTCAGTGCCAGTTAGGAGTGGGAGGAGTTAGGGAACTGGGTGGGGTCATGAACTGGGTGGAGTCAAGGACTGGTAGCTGTCTGGGATTGGATGAGGTCATGGACTGGGTGGAGCCAGAAACTGGGAGGAGTCAGGGTACAGTCAGGACTAGGTGAGGCAATGTACTGGGCGGAGTCAGAGGTGCAGTCTGGGAATGGGTGAGGTAATGGCTTGGATGGAGTTGGGAACTGGGTGGAGTCGGGAACTGGGCGGAGTTAGGATGGGCGGAGTCAGGAACTGGGTGGAGTTGGGAACTGGGTGGAGTCGGGAACTGGGCGGAGTTAGGAACCGGGTGGAGTCGGGGAACTGGGTGGAGTCGGGAACTAGGCAGAGTTAGGAACTGGGCGGAGTTGGGAACTGGGTGGAGTTAGGAACTGGGCAGAGTTGGGAACTGGGTGGGTGGAGTCAGAATTGGGCGGAGTCTGGGGAACTGGGCGGAGTCAGAACTGGGTGGAGTTAGGAACTGGGTGGAGTCAGGAACTGGGCGGAGTCAGGAACTGGGCGGAGTCAGGAACTGGGCGGAGTCAGGAACTGGGTGGAGCCAGGAACTGGGCGGAGTCGGGAATGGGTGGAGTCAGGAACTGGGTGGGTGGGTTTAAAAACCTTGCGCTCTGGGATTGGCCAAGGTGAGCAGGGGTCAGGACTGGATTCCAGAGAGCTGGTGTCTCAGCTAGGCCTAGACAAGGCCGCTGTTTACCAAATTCCAGACCTCGACAACCATATTCATGAATCTTACCGAACAGCAAAGCACCTGTACTATTATTTACTTAGTATTCTCCTCCTTTTGAAATCGTTTAAAAATATAAATGAATGTGTTTTAAAAGGGAAGTTTACGTTCCTGTCTTTAAAGGAAAAACAATAATGGTATCTGCTAACAGAAGGCCCCCTCTGCCCTGAATACTAAGTAAACACTAACTACATCCCAGCTAGAATCTTTTGTCTCCAGAAGCTTCTAGGCTCAGCCCTTTTTGTGTCTCTGTTGATTGAAAAAGAATCAGTCTTCTTTAAAGACCCAAAACATCCAGCAGAGCCTTGGTCCTGAAGCACTTAGAGGACTTCTACAACCTTCCCTGAGAGAGGCTGTCGGACACCACTGGGTGGTCTCCCTGGGGCCTCTCTCCCACCTTTGGTGTGAGCCCCTCCCCATGTCTTGTCTCTCTCCGCCTCTACAATGTCTCTTCCCTCTGGGCGTCTCTGTCTCCTGCCTCCGTGGGCCCTGGCTCCCCCATCCTCTCCTCTGTCTGCCTCTCTGTCACAGACACTGGTTTCAGGCAACCCAGGAGCAAGGAAGCTAAATCCCGATGGTGAGTTCCCACCTATCAGGATACAGAGGTCCTGTCAGGCAGGAGGAACCATCCTTTGGGCCTTACGAATTGGCAGAGTCAGGAGAAACTGGGCCCTGCCACCTAGTGAACAGGAACCTAATGTGAAAGTGCACCTCAGAGCGTGACTGGGAGGCTGGGGCCTCCGACTCCAGCTGCTCCAGCTGCCTGGCCCTGCCAGTGAGGTCTAGGAAAGGGGGGCAGACCCGGCCAGCCTACTGGCACACGGCCCAGGGCCAGGCTGGTGCAGAGCTCACCCTGCTGCCCACCCACCAGGAAAGGCCAAGTCTGGCCCTTCCCCGTCAGGAAGAGACTTCTCTGCTTCTGGTGGGGCGAGGTGCCGGGGCAGCTGTGGGCCACAGGCCTTCCTTGCCCAGAAACCCCCCAGTCAACAGCAGGTGCAGGGAAGCCACCCGATCAGGTCAGCAGCGGGGCCTCCCCCAGGGAGTGAGGATGTACCCCATGGCCCCAGCCCTGAGCCTCTGAGGTTCCAAGTGAATTAGGACAATTCCAGTCCCTCCAGCCGCTAAGCTGCTTCCCACAAGGTGACAGGCCTCCTTCAATCGAGAAGCTGCTGCCCAAAGCAAACTGCCTGTGTTGAGTTCCCTGGTCATTTCCATCTCCCCGGCTCTCTCCCAGCGTCCCTCCCTCTCTCTCTCCTCCCCATGTCTGTCCCTCTCCAGCTCTTGGGTTTTCTCTGTCTTTGTCCACCTCTTGGTTCCTCTGACTGCACCTCTGTCTGTCTCTGTCCCTCTGTCTCCCTGCTCCCTTCCCCTGTCTCTCTCTCTCTTGATATCCCTCTCCTCCTCGCTCTCACTTTCCAGTACTGGGATGGAGCCCAGCGGCACCTTACCAATGAGCTACACCCCTAGCCCTTTATATTTTTGGAAAGAGTCTGGCTAAGTTGCCCAGACTGGCCTTGAACTTGTGACCCTCCTGCCTCAGCTCCCGAGTTGCTGGGATCACAGGTGTGCCTGACCGCACCAGCTTCTCTGTCTCTTGTAGTGGTGCCGGTCCTGGCTCTCCATGTCTGTTTCCGCCTGTCTCTCTGTCTCAACCTCTCTGGTCTCCAGCCCCCCACTTCTGGTTTCACCGTCGGGGGTGGCGCCTGACCCTCCCCACCCATCGCAGCAGTGCTCTTCTGGAGTTCCGCTCCCCAAATTCCTGTCTGGCCTTTCATCCACTCCGCCAGCTCTAAGTGTCCCCTGTTCTGAACCTCAGCCTCCTGCCACCCTGGGCCCTGTTTTGCCACGTCCCTATGCCAGCCATGAGTGGAAAATCGGTCTCTTAACATAAGATCACAAAAACAAGTGCAGAAAAAGAACAGAAGAGGGCCCAGAAGGAAATAATGGTCTACGGTTGGTCGAGTCTCAACCAAGGTACCAGGACACACAATAGGGAGGGAGGGTCTCTTCAATAAGTGATCTGGGGACAACTGGATATCCACATCCCCTTACCTCACACGTGTACAAAAATCAACTCAAAACTGTCTGAGATGTAAGATCAGAGGCTGTAGAACTACTGGGAGAAAACCGGCAAAGCCCGCGTCTCGGGTCTGGGAGGTGATTTTTTGGATATAACTGCAACAGCTCAGGTAGCAGAACCCAACACAGACAGATGGGATTGGATCCAACTGTAAAGTCTCTGCACAGCAAAGAAACCGATCAACTGAGCAAAGAGAAAAGTGTTTGCAAACCACACGCCTGATAAATGGTTAATATCCAAAAATACATAAGGAACTCAACAACGGAACAGCAAGAAAACACACCGATTTAAAAATTGGCCAAGGATTTGAGGAAGCATTTCTCCAAAGAAGGCATGTAAATAAACAATAGGGCCATAAAACATATCCAACATCAGAGAAATGCATATTAGAACCCTCTGGAGGTCTCACCTCCTCCCTGTTAGAATAGCTGTTCTCAAAAAGAGAGGACGGTGTTGGGGAGGCTGGGGGAAAAGGGAGCCCTCACACACGGCTGGTGGGAGTGGAAACTAGAACAGCCAGTGCTGTCATCCCAGCGGCTCGGGAGGCTGAGGCAGGAGGACTGTGAGTGCAAAGCCAGCCTCCGCAAAAGCAAGGCACTGAGCAACCCAGGGAGACCCTGTCTCTAAGTAAAATACAAAGCAGGGCTGGGGACGTGGCTCAGTGGTCAGTGCCCCTGAGTTCGGTCCCCAGTACCGCCACCCCCCTAAAACAACGTCAGTGAAGAGGGAAAGCCAGCTGACCAGCAGTCCTGGGAGAGTCAGAGGTGAGCGCCCGCCCAGGGCCAGGTGGGGAGCCTGAGTTCTGGAAGCGGCCATGGGCCCCAAGCCCCGTAAATCTCAGTCTCCCTTTAATCAGGAGAGGGGCCTGGCCTTTCATGACACTGGTTACGTCATCTTCCAAGAACAAAAAGCTGACTCCTTTTGAAGGCCTCCTCCAGCTCCTCCAGAGGGCCCGTCCCTCACCTAGCTGCCCATGCCACCCACACTCTGCTGGCTCCCCGAATTGCTTGGGAGGTGACAGGACCGGCCTTGGGGAGGCTGCTGCCCTCCACCAGGGCCTCACTGCAAACAGGCCACTCACAAGATGGCCTGAGCCTGCACATCCCAGGCCAGATCTTAAAACCAGCCTGTGCACCACGGGAATTGGTGACTTGGAAGTCACAGAGTGGGGCCTACCGCATCTGGATGTCGATCCAGCGAGCTAATTGTCTCATCTGTTCTTGGCAACATTTTAGCAAATCTACTTCCTGAAATACAAAAGGTCAGAGAGAGTGGACCGGGTCAGAAATTCCCCGGGTCAGAGCGCCCCTCCAGCACCCCGCCCTCCTTGCCCCCAGGTGAGAGCCAGGGGCCAGCTGCCGAGCACCACCTGCCCCGCCCTACTTTCATTTCTATTTGCTTCTGGATTAAAATAAGACCCAGCACATACTGTGTGACGGGAGCTCACCAGTACATATGATCATTAAATAATGCCCATGAAGAAGTCTGAAGTCCGATATGCACGCGCAGCAGGTGTTGGAGAAACACTAGCTTTGGTTTTTGCTCTTGGTGGAATTATTATTGTACCCAACTTGGAAATGAGGAGCCCGGGGGCCAAGGAACTCCACGTTGTGGTCTGGATACGGAATATCACCCCAAAGCTCTGGGGCAGAGGGCTTGGTCCCCAGGGCAGCGGTGTTCAGAGGCGGGAGGTGACGGGATCTTGAGGCTCTGGCCCCATCCATGAACTGATCGCTGAGAGGCTCATAATTTAACGAGATGGTGGGAACATGGGGGATGGGGCCTTGTGGGAGGAAGGAGGTCAGTGGGGGTGAGTCCCTGGAAGGTGGACCCCCACATCTTGTCTCCAGTACCTTTCTGCCTCGCCCCCTCTCCCCCTCCTCCTCCTCCTGCTGGCCACCATGAGCTGGGGACAAAGCCCTGCCGGGCCCCTCCGCCATGATGTCTGCTCCCCACAGACCTAGCAGCTATGGAGCAGCGCAGGTGGACAGCAGCCTCTGAGACCAAAGTCTTTCCTCCTAGACGTGGACCGACCGGCTGCCCTGCCCACTCCCTGGGGTGGGGTAGGCCCTGGAGACCCCTCACCCGGATAAGGTTCTTCTCCACGCTGTCATGGACCAAATCAATCCCGATCCTTTTCTCTCGATGGTAGAGACACTCCAGGGCCACCTGCAGGGAGATCAGGAAAGAGTGTCTTCTTCCCGGGGCTGGACATTGACCCTGAGCTCAGTGACACACAGGACCTTGGCTGGGATCCCATCGTTCCTCTGAGAAACCTGGTATTTCATAGGGCCTCACAGAGGCCTCTGGAGGGCTCTGCCTCCCTCAGTGGGCACTGTGGGGTGCCCAGGCCAGCGCGTGAGGAGATGCAGGGCCCATGTAGAGAAAGCAGGATAAGGCAGTGTCCCAGGAACCAGTGGTGACTGAGATATAATCTCCACAAGCTGTCCCCAGCCTTCCCAGCTACAATAATGGATATGGCAGCTGTCACTATGATCTCAGATAAGACGGTATCAGCTGCTGTCCTCCATGTGTGCTCTGTCATAAGTTTAAATCCAGGCTTAGTCCCTTCCTGTCATGTGCACTGGGGCAAGTCACTCAGCCTCTCTGACCCTCGGTCTCCTCATCTGCCGATCAGCGTGAGATTGGTGCATCTTTCACAGGCTGGTTGTGCATTTCAACCCAGCTGAAAGGACACAGCTGAAGGAATGTGATCATCTCCACCTGGGATAAGGGCGGTGATGCAAATGACTGGGGTGATGTGGATGGGCAGGGCTCAGGGAGGACTTCTCTAGGGAGGAGACAGAGAGACTGCTCATAAGAAGCAGAGTGCAGAGATGAGTGGAGACATGGGGCAAGAAACAGGAGCTGCAGGTGCAAAGGCCCTGAGGCCAGAGAATGCACAGACAGGAAGCCCTTGGAACTGGAGAAAGTGAGGCTGGAGCAGAAGCAGGGGCAAGGTCACGGGGGAGGGAAGAGGAATTCAGGAATTGGGTGTTAGATTCTGGGACTCCATCCAGGGAGCCAGTGGAGGAGTGATAAGACTCACTTTAATATTTGAAGTCACCCTCTGGCTGCTGGGGGGGGGGGGGAAGGATGGGTTGGACGGGAGCAGGAGGTGGAAGACCAGGAAGGAAGTAGTTATTTCCATGTCCAGTGAGAGGCTGCCCGGCTGAAGGCAGCCAGGGGATGGAGAGAAGTGGAGAGACCGAGATGCCCCCATCCCTGGGCCTCCGTAGGGCTGATCAAAGGGGTCACATGGGACCAGGCAGAGCTGGGCTTTGCAGACATGCTGGGGAGTGGGAGCAGGAGAGGGGGGCAGTAGGTGGTGGACGCTGCTGTGGGGCTGTGAGGAGCAGCCCTGCCCACCCCTCTCCTGAGGGGCCAGCCAGCAGATGAAGGCAACGATGGACGCCTTCCCCTAATGGGGTTGGGAGTCCCAGAGACATGCTGCCGAGTCTCTTCGGGCATCTCAAGGCAGGACCTCTCCTACCACGGGTCCTGCACAGAACGGGGCAGAAACGGCTGTAGGAGGCTTCCAGGCAGGAGGCCCTGGGTCTCTGGAATGTCCAGGGAAAGCAGATCCCCGTCCAGTGTAGCCAAGATGGTTTCCACAGCATGAGGCAGGAGCTACCGGTTCCCCACCCAATGTGCACCCAACCCCTTCCATGCCTTTCTCCAGGAGCACAGAAAAGCGGTCATCTCCCAGACTCTTCTGCAGCCAGGGAGCCCCTGCAAATGGGCTGAAGAGGCCGACCCACGAGGGCCTTCTGGGAACCTCCTCCTGATGACAGGGGACACAGCTGCACCGTCGCCTTCTCCCCACCCCGTTTCCGGCCTCCAGGAGAGGACCAGAGGGCTCCCCTCAGGCGGGAGCCTGCAACCGGAAGTGTTAGAACTCCATTTGCCATTGACGGCCGAGGGTTAAGACAGAGCCCGGTCCCAGCCCTCAGGTGGAGGGCTGCAGGCGGATCTGTCTCCCTGTGCAGTTCTGCGGGGCTGGGCCACGCCCCGGAGCACCTGCTGCTGCAGCCCAGAGCAACCCGAACCGGCCCGGGATCGGACCGAGGCCAAGGAGGGGTCGGGCAAGCCCACCATGGGTCACCTCGTCACTTATTCAACCGCTGTCTACCGAGTGCCTGGTGGGTGCCACTCTCCGCCCTCGGCTGGGCGAGCGTTCAGAATGCTGACCTGGACAACAGCCGGCAGGGAGCCGGGTCACTGAGGCCTGCGGGACACACGGGGGCTGCACGGATGGTGGGTCTGGGGTAGGTGCGCGCGGGGGACCAGCCCTGCCTGGTGGAGCCCACGCGCCCTGCAGGTGGAAAGCCACCAAGGAGAAGTGTAGGGCGTGGCACGAGTCCTCGGCAGGGAGGAAGCGCAAGCGCGACTTCAGGCGAGTCCTCGGAAGCCCTTCGCCAGGTGGACCACCTCGGCACCTGCGCAGGGGGCGTCGGCGCGCACGGGTCTCCGCGGAACCCCGCCCCTCGGATGGAACCCCGCCCCTCGGATGGAACCCCG